TTGAAGTATTTTGGTATAGAGTATAATGTATGTTCTATTGGTAGAAGATAATAAATATTATCAACCATATTTTATGATTTATAAAGCTCTCATATCATTAGGAACCATTTTAAAAAATGCAAATAAATACATGATATAAATATAAATAAATTTGTATTATCCTCTCAATTTTTATTTTATTGAGATTTCTATAATGTATTTTAAAACTAATTAGGCTCATTTATAGCTATAGTTATAAATATACATAATATAAAATGTATAAGAAAAATATTGATTGTGTACTAGACAAGTTAAAGAAAAAAGGAGGTTATCTTTTGTTTTACAAATTTACTTTTATCTAAGTTAAACTTCTGTCTTGTAGTACCTCTAAAACCAAATAAATTCTTTAAAACTCTTAAACTATCGTATTCCAGATGCATGTTATCATTTTTCTAAGAATATAAAATGCATATGTTACCATCTTATGTTAACTTTTAAAAGTTATCAGATAAAACTTTGTCAACAATTTTTTCATTCTTTGGCATAACATAATTTTAGTGGTTTTAGTTAAATGTTTTCAAGAGCTGGTAAAGCTTTTGCAAAAAAATTAATCTTTTCTTTTAGATAAATATATATTTGTAAATTATATATAAATCGGGTGATCTATTTATCATAACCCAAATAATTACTTTCAAAATAAAGTAATTTCGGGAATATTTTTTTGGGCTTTTTTTGGTTATATATACTTAAAAACCAATGTGTTATATTAATATAACGTATCATATTAAGTAGATTTCTTTTAAGTACTTTCTCAGTTCAAAAATTTACCAATAAAAACCTTAGTAAAAAAATTATTGTAAATATATAGTCGACATTATTATTTTGTTTATTAAACAAACATTTTTATTATATTAGATAATTTGTCAAACAAACAAATATTTTGTTCGTGTAACAAAAACATGATTGATTTAACAATAAAAAAGTTGTTGGCTGTATTTTTTCAGTGTTATATTTTATGAGGGAGTTAGTTTTATTTTTTTATATAGCGAAATTTTAACATACTATTAAATAGAAAATGATAAGCTGATAACAAATTACGAAGCAGTACTTCGCCAGCTATTAACATATATATATATATATATATATGTGTGTGTGGTGATAATTAGAAAGCGGGTATGACTAAAAATATCACAAAATGTTTTTCAACCACACTTAAAATTATATGTAACGAAGAAAAGTCATAGGAAAATATTCCCATAACTGGTTTTATTTTGCAAGTAATTGATCATTCTATGTATATATCACTATTCCTTAATAAGTGGACTTTTTTTCATTTGTTTGCTTTAGAGTTATTAAATTCACAATTAAATAATTAAACAAGAAAGTATACCTTGTAAATAAGCATTGGTACTTGTTAAAAATATATTTATACCTAAAATAAAGCTTTTCGAAGTCATTTTTAATTAAATATTAGAATGAAGGAAGTCTTTGTGAGATGTCTTTGGTTTCAATCAGTGGCAGTATACTAATTTTTCAGGCGGGGGTGAAAATGACCAAAAAAAAAGTCAATTGTTAAAAATATGTCTAGATTTAGAATTTTTTATCTAAACACAATTACTTTATACTCTAGTCCATAGATGTAATAAAAATTTTAATTGTATCATATTTAACGAAATTCAGATTAATTTTTTTTAAAGAGCACCTGCCAAGGAGGGCGATTAGTCTATCGCTTCACCCTTATAACTACCATTAGTTACAATTAGCAGTATTGTACTAGATACTAAATATTTTTTAACGTTATTATCAATGTATTCGCCAATTTATTCTTTCAATCAAGTATGGATTAAGGGGACAAGGGCCTGCGGTAATAGGGACTACAAAGAAAAAACCTAGTCTTGTATTACCACTAATTGTTAAAATAATTGTAATAATATTAGTTATATTATTATTATTGTTTATCTCTTGTAGTTTTTAATTATGTTGTAATAAAAATATTGTTTACTTTTTGAAAAAACTTTTCTTTGGTCCTATTAAAAAAATCAGGCTCCGGGCGTTAGATGATATTTAACCCTGCCTTCAATGATTTTATTGAAAATTATACTGAATATTTAATATTAGGTAACTTCTATGTATACAACTATATAACTATTAATTATGTCACAACTATTAAAAAAAAATTATAGTCTCTCATTGATATACAAATTCACAATATAACAATAAAATTGTTTCGAATCAATTTTTTAAAGTAAATTTGAAACAGATTACTGTCTTTTTTATAGAATCAATAGTTTAGATTGTTTGGTTTTTTTTTTTTTGTATTTAAAGAAGAAGTTGTAGGATATACTTAGTGAAAAATTAAAACAAAGTCTATTGTCATATATTTCTAATGATATACTATTTTTTTCTTTTTAAGTCTATTTTATTTTATTTTGTACAATACTATATGTGTATAAATTGTTGAGTAAAACTTCAAAACCAAAAATCCAATTATTTTTCAAGACATTGCTTTGACGTTTTAAACAAAATCACTTAGTATTAATAATCATGTTAGAAATAATATACGTCAGAGTGACTAAAATTTACAGAAATGATAGTAAATCTTTTGAGATGTATCCGTTTGTGATTTATATCACTATATCATTAATATATTTCTTCTAAATCACCTACTAAACTCTCAAATATTAAATTTTGATTACTATAAAATATAGTATTAACTTTGTCTGTTTAAAATGTTGACTATTTAACTAGTAAGCTATACGTTAATTTAATTTTGTTTGCAAATTTAAACACTATAAATATAAATGTATAAATTAAATTTCCTACACTTCTGGGTGCAACTAATCAGATTAAAAATAATTTGAATTCTAAGTAGAAAACACGTGTTAGTGTATTACTGAGAAAAAATGTGCTTTAAACATTAAAGGAAAATCCAATTATAATAAGTAAGTGAAGCATAAGTATTGGTGAACTAGCAGAAAAATTTCAAGTGCTTGTAGAATTTACTATAGTCATCATAATGTCAAATCATAAACTTTTAAAAACTACTAATATATTTTTACGACTTTTAACTTTATGAATAACGTAAAAATACTTTATTTGAGCTAGGAAAAGTTTTATGTTGCGAATATATTTAGTCTATGAATATTATAATTTATTGTATTCTAGGACAAACTATTAAGTCCGTCAAAGGGTTTTCATTTTTATTTAGAGAGTAATGCAATTTTTCAACTTATCTTCGTATATTTTAATCTAACACAAACTGTTTTTTCTAAATCTATTCAAAAGAAGATTTTAAATTAATTTCTCATAACAAAAATTTTCCAAAAGAAATAGAATTTTATCAATAAAAAATCTATATAAAAATAATAATACAGTTAAGATACAGCACTGTGGGGATTATAATAAAATAAAATCATTCAGTTATTAAAATTATTAAGCGCTTCGATGAGATTGTACTTAAAGAAAGTTCAATTTTGATTTTCATTAGTTACAATTTCAGTTTTGAAATTAAAATTCTAATTTATCATAAGCAAGGAAGGACTGTCTTACTGTGCTTTAACACACTCATATGGTGATCATTGTGACTATGACCGAAAATTGGTTGGCCAGCTACTCGAGGTTAGTGCTGTGGCTACAATTATTAACAATGTGACATTTTTTTTATATTATACATGCCGCAAATAGTTGCACATAAATAATAATAATGTATCCATAGACGGATAATTGATAAAAATTTTTAGAGGGGCTAGAATAATTCAAGTTGGATCTTACATTATTATAATTACAAAAAGTCTTAGAACATTTTTAAAAATTAAAAATATATCTAGCTATGCTAGAAATAATTTGCTTAACCTTATTTTTACATATTTATTAATATTACCTACATGTTTGAAATTATATATGTATTATTTTAATATAAATAGTATGAATAATAATATAATATAATATAATACATCTAGATGTATTAGACAAAAAAAAACAGTTTTTAATAATTATTATTGAAACAATTCAAATTTGTATCAATTTTTTATTTATAATCTTAAAACGTAATAATGAACAGGTAACATAAATATAAATCACAGCCAAGTTAAACAAGAAAGTGTAATACTCTTTTATTAAAAAAAATTCAGTTTTGTGATGGCTACAACTGTTTATATTTATGAGTACCAATTATACGTATTTAATCATGTTTGTGTATCTATAACAGGTATACACAATATATTTTTTTTACTGAAAATATTCTATGGGGGGGAAAGGGCAGCAATCGTCATTCCTCATAACGTGACTGCAACCAATATTAAAAAACGTGAATTTCACTAGCTACATTAACGCTATAAACTAATGTTATTTCAACCCTGTAAATATAATTAAATTCGAAATTCCGATAGTCTTAGGTGAGAATCTACGTGCAATTGTGTATGACCACAGCCGCACTTGAGATTGAAATAACCACTTATTTTTTACGTGTATGTACAATTGCACAACGATTTTTCGGCATATCATATAACTAGGTTAGAAACACTTAATTGGTAAATATTTATAACTATGATAAAAAACTTTGTACTTGGTTTTACTCAAACTAAATTTCGATTACTATTATCGTTTGCAGAACGATAAATACAAAGAAACAAAATTAAGTTCAGCTATAAAGTGAATAACACTGATAGTACGCTGAAGTAATTACATTGAATAAAACTACTCGTATAAACATAATATTGTAATCATTGGTATTCCACAAGTAAGTTGCGTTTCTTTTTATCGATACTCAATGATCGTGTGGGGGCGATGTCGATATTTTAGGAACTCCCGGCCCGACACCTCCCGAAGAGCATGTGGACGCAGACAATCAATCCTATCATTTTCTATGGATCAGTCGATGTACTCGATCACTTTAGAGATGATGAGTAACGGTTGCTACCGAACGATAATATCTCGGCTATTGTTACTTCGGCAGCATCCGTGATACGTTTGTGATAATAATGAAAACGTTATTTGTATGGATTTTTATTATTTCAATTAAGGGTGCAATACAAGAGTTGAAAATTTACGGGTCTACGGCATCAGCTGACATTCAATGTACGGAAACCGAAATTCTACAGGTAAGTGAAAATTACAATACCGGGTATGGTCATAAAAAAAAAAAAGTACAAAATACCGAAATGGAAACTGGCTTTCAGTTTAACAATATAGTAATAATATATTGTGGTGCGACATTTGACATGACATAAGTAATGCCACCCAACAGAATACTGTTACCGCTGCTTTTTTATTTTTATTAAATGTATTTACATTATAATAGAATATTAAAACAGTATTCAAAAAACGGGTTTGGATTAGAATAATAAAATTACTACAAAATTAAAAATTATAATGATAATAAATAAAATATATATTTATAAAAATTTCCACATTATCACTAATGATGATAACAATTGAAGGACGGCTCCTTTTTCTTTTATTTACAATAATTCTCAATAATTAATATTTTAATAAAATATTTATTTTAATATGATTTTTACTTTTTCATTAATTTAAAAATAATCAAAGTTCAGTTTTTATCCTGTAGAGTATTGGTCATGCAAGTAGATACGATTTTGTATTCGTATATTGCAATAGTGGTTTTTTGCTCGTGCAGCTTAGCTTAACTTAATAATAAAACGCAGTTGGGCATATTAATAATTATTGAAAAGTGATAATTTATGTTTACTTATATATCACATGAAATGAAGAAAATGTAACAATGTATTTAAATTTGTAGCAGTCAAATACGTTTGTAAAATGAAAATTAAATACTGTAATGTGAAGAACAATTCTATTTAACAAATTATTTTACAAAAATCAATCTTTAAATTAAGTTTTTAAAAAATATTAAATAAAAAATTTCAATTTTATTCATGAATGTGTGTAGATATTTCCAAGAGTATGGCCAAGGTATAATAAAAAGGGTAACCCTTTTGACGAAAATAATTGTAAGCTCAATATACTTTTGAAAAGAATTATTTAACATTTTCTGATATATAACACCCTCACAATAGAATCTTAAGAGATCAAGCGATTATTTTAATTATCATTTTTAATTTACGTTAATTAATATTGCGAAAAGTATTTTTAATGGTGATTAGGTAATATTTAAAAGTTTGTATAATATGAACTATACAACTATAGGGTTTCGAGTTAAGTTCACAGAACTTGGATCGATAAATTTACTTTATAAAAAAAAATGTGGGCAAATGTAGATGTCAAATAAAACAAATCTTTTGTTCACTAAAAAAAAAAAGAGGGATTCTAAAATCTTATGCTGGTACTGAGTTTATTTATATTTTATTGAAATTATAAACTACAATTTTAGAGGGATAAGCTGCTTACATTAATTAAATTATTGGTATTGCGTATCAAAGTCATATGAATTATATCAATACAACTCTTAAGTAGTGGTTCTGAAGAATTTATACTTGGAGAAGCTAAATTTTATATATAACTATTGTGTTTTGTTATTTGTGATGTTTTATACAATGAAATTAAACGTAGGTACGTTTATAATTTTAGCTGTCATTCATCAAACTTATTTTAAACCCAAATTCTGATTCAGGAAGATGATACCCTTCATTCTTTCACTCTTCACTTTTCCAGTATACTTTGATTTTATAATAATATTAAACAAAACCACACAATTAAAATCTTTATGATAGTTTTCACTATCCAGACAAATTCGTGAATTGAGAACATATAGACTTGAACTACAATGTATATGCAAAATTAGATCTTTTTATATTAAATGTACAATATTATGGTAAAAATTATTTAATAATTTTATGAAAGTTTCACTAATAGATACAGTTCAAGTTTTAAGTTAGTTTATCTATATTAGTATAAACATATTAATTTACTTTCTAGTTAAATATAACTCAATATAAGCTTAAGTATAAATCATTTTTTATAATGACACTCCCAAGATATAAAATTATTAAATGGCCTATATATCATAACTATATCGAAGTTTAATGTAATAGTCTTTTTTTTAATAAAATCTGGTATTATTCATGAAACATGTTAAGCGTGTCAACCTTAGGTTCTTTTATATTATCATCGTTGTGTGCTTTTTATCCTAATTGCATGTCCCCGTTTAATTTATTCTTATAATTTATTAACGTGTAAAACCCATTAAAAGCGCAAAATAATAGAAGAAGTCGTCCTTTGTCAACAATTTTCAGTAGATTTTCAATTACTTTTTTAAAACTAAAGTATGCTGAAAAGCTATCAAGAGTTCAATTAAATGCGTCTAAAATAGTGGTGAATTATTTTACTTCAAATGTTTTTATCGTTATCGAAACTTGACAAATCGATCATGAATAGTAATAATTGAATATGTACATTTTATTAAATGATAAAGTAAAAAAAGTGAAATGGAATAATGCAATTAATTAAACGACTTATTAACTAAAAAGTAATATAGAGATAGTTTTAAGTATTATTTCAATGTACTATACATTACTAAAGTAAATCATAGATTTCATATTTCACAAAATATTACATTATAAATATTTTACATGTAAAAATGTCTGGGTTGCCTCACTAAACTGATATCAGGTGTGATATTATTATAGTAAATTATTATTTTTTTTATTAAACCGATGAAATCACTTCAGACACAAGATCTTACGATCATTACTTTTAGCTTTTTGATAACATAATTAATGTAACCATACTTAAATCAATGCTCTATTATTGATTTCAATATAATTATTTTAGAAATTAGAAATTAGTAAAAATACTTTAATGTCAGATGTCTCATGGACCATATGATCTATTTTATTTGGAAATATTTACAAAAACTCATAAAACATATTTCATTTGTTAAAATTATACTTATCAAGTTTTAAGGGTAAATTCATTAAGTAAATTGTATTAAGTTAACTACAAAATTGTTAGTATGATTGTTTGATTTAAATGTATATATATATATATATATATATATTGGTTTCATACATTTTTTGAACATGATAACTAGTTATATAAAATATTTTCATTTTAATACTTGTAAAACCAATTAATTAAACTCGCATTTTATTTTATACATTTTTTACAACATGTTCATAATTGAAAACATAATTTTAATTTCTTATTTCAATAAAAATATTTATAAAGTTTAATATTAATTTCCTAGAATGGGTTATAAATACATTTTGAACAATATGAGCTCCAGAAAAAACTACACCGTTCTTTGTTAGCGCAAAGAAATCGTTATGAAAAATACGTTTATTATAATTTTTCAATCAAATATAAAATTAAAATAAATGTTTTAGAGAATTTTATATTTCCAATATTACTGATCAGATGTCACGTTCAAAATATTTGATCAAAAACAACATACTGTGTTCTAATGATATAAGATATCACGGGATTTAATACTTTTTAATTTATAAAATATTTATACACTGTTTTGTTTGCGTCTACTTCGTAGTCATAAAAATGTTTGTAATAGATTCACCTTTGAAGTAAAAATGATTTATAATATTAATTATTATTATTATTTACTTTTCTAATTAACAATGCACTATGCATTTGTTTGAGTATTTTAAGATGTATGTATAAATAAAAAAATATACTAAGGTTAAGTGCTGTTGAATGCAACACTTACAACATGTTCAATTGATTAAGTGAAATCTTATTGATTAATTTCTTCTCGGATGTTATACGTTTCAGAAATTATCACAGTGCAACGTAACACAAATAACACTACTTAAATTGATTTTTTAATATAAACAGAAGTCATAAAATTACCAAGTTTGATATGATATTTGTTAATTGTAAGTCTTGTGTTTGGTTCTTGTCAATTTTTACACATGCTGTTTATTCGTGTATTTTTATAGTAGATGGGATTTCCACCATACCGATAAAATAAAAATATTTTAATATCCAAAAAACCTTCTTTGTTGGATTATTTACGACATTTACTGAAATTGAAGAGGCAATTTTTAAAAGTATTTTAATAAAACTTGGAAACGTTTTAAATATTAAACAACTTTTCTTAAAAAATATAAAAATATATTATTGTTAAAAAGTGAAAAATGTAGCTGTTATAATTTTAAACAAATGCATTAACGAATCTTTGTTCATTTTACCAAAATAAATAAAGCCTTGAAAACTGTGATATTTTACAAAAATTACTATTTTTGACATTATTAAATAAATATAAGGATTTACATTTTGTTTAAATATTTTTAAAAAAATTATATACATTACCATAGTATTTAATTTGTATCTTTTAGATATTTCTCCCAAAATTTTATTGAGTTCAAAAAATTTAAATAAGAAAAATAATAATCGTACAGTTATTAAGTAAATGATTAACAACTATGTAATAATCTTACACATTTTTAATTGACTTCAACTTTTTAATAATATATACTATTAGAAAGATGTGGTATGTACCTTGATTCATTATAAACAAATCAAAATATTAATGACAAATGTATTTTTAGAACAAAACATTTTTTGGGGAATATTTTTGTTCGTTTATAAAAAATTGTTAAACTTAAGCCTATGATATAGAGACTTATTTGGTTAACACTAAATAAATTGAATTCAATCATTTAGTACCAAAATAAAAAAAACTTTAAATTGAGTGGATTGTCAATTATGCAAACTCTACTATTCAATATATTTAAATAAGAATCCCGAGACTTAAGAAAATCTTTGCCAAAGTATAAGAACTGATGAGTAAACAAACCTTATATTTATTTATATAACATAGAATGTACAAGAAGATTTGCTCACAAGGCGAATGTTACTTTTTATAAAAAAAAAACATTACGTTTTTATAAATGACTTTACCTTTAAAATATTGAAGATATCAAGTGTAATAATATAAAAAAATAGACTAAGGGAATTTAAAATATTTAACAATTTTCGATTTTATTTTATTCGTAACATTTTGTCTGCTTATTGTTTCTAATAATTACTATTAATCTTAAGATTTCTTAAATCAAATTTTTGAATGATCTTAAAGGTGCTCTTGTCCAATTCTGAAACAAAAATATGAAATAATATAGTCCTATGATTTCATATTTTTGATAATAATAAATTTTGTTGAGCTGCT